CGTTATTGGTGGGAATAACGTAGCTCCATTTTCTGCCTTTAAAAGCACACACAACCCACAATTCCTCTATTCGCTCCGACGAAGGGCTAACGCTCGAAACGTCAGCTTTTGTAATCGATACGGTGGCCAAGTTACCATTTCAACTTTGTTGATATATCCAAATTATTTCGTTACTCCCACCGACGCAGCCTCAAACAGTTTCTTTCGAAACTATCAGCCTTTATCCCTTAAGAACTAGCCTTGCCCTGAAGATCATATGATGCGGTCGACTGTTGCTCCTTACTAAGTTTAAAATGCATTGCGTGAGAGCACTTGAACCTGCAAGATTCTTATCATCCGCCGAATATAGTTCATAAAGCTCGCCAGGACAGAAGCTTCTCGTTCACTTTTGAAATCCTATTAAAGATCTTTTTTTTATGTATCATTGATTACTTTCAATGCTTGCGAACGGTTTCTTTTACCTGACTTGAAGAGCTTTCAAAATGGCAGTCAGTTAAGTGTTTTTGTAAAGACATCAGATCTATCCTTTAAGCAAAGGCCTTAATTTAAACTTCTTGCCACACAAGTAGCACAGGGTATTTTACATGGCAATAAAGCAGTTTTAGAAGAAGTCAAATGCCAGGACGAGCTGACTGCATACGAGGAAAGGACTAATTCGTGGGTAATCTCATGCAGAAGGATTCACATCATTTGAATGGCTCCTGATTCGTATTCATCGATTTCTTTTAATTTCCTCTTTACTTCGTTCAGCAAATGAGCATTCATTGAAGCGCTTGTATCGATCAAACGGCAATTTAATTGTATTGCCCTCGTTGCTCTCATGACCACAAGAGTAAAGGTTCAAAAACAATGGAAGTTTTGGCTTAGGAAGCTTCTATCACGATCGTTTTATGTCTTAAAGGACCCCGGCCTCAATCCAACAGTTTAAGTTGCAATCTCCACTTAATGAGTCCTGTAAGAAAAGGAAGATAACTTGTAGGTAGTCAAACTCTTCTTTCCATAGATAAACAAGATGAAAAAAAGTCGCTCGTGAACAATGCAAAACCAGTTTTGTCACCTGGTGTTTATAAATATTTGATTCATGGCGTTCGAGTTAAACACGGGCATTTCTTTACTTGTTGTAGGTAATAAAACATGGAAAGAAAGAGGGTTTGTGACCGATAACTCATAGTATGAAAGTCAAGGGAGAGTTCCTTCTGGTATGGCAAATTCTGTGTGTATATTGGGAGACTACTCTGGCAGTATATCATAGAAAAAGTGGTCAAGTGTCACGAGCAGCGTCTGAGGTGAAGGATAGAAGATACAAATTAAACAATTACTTTCGCCAAAGGAAGATAAATGGTAAGTGTTTTCGGGAAATGTAAAATGATCGATGTTCTTTGGGTGAGTTTAAGGGTAATGGGCGTGGGTTAAAGATCTGCATAAGATAAGGATGACTTCACACTTAGTATGAAGAAACTTAATCTTCGTATCCGTTACTTGACAAATCAAATTAAACCATGAAGCATGAGATTCTGTTGGTAGAGACGCTATTTATTACATAAAAACAATTTAAGGAGGAAAAAAGGGGTGACTGATTGAAGTTAGAGTCGACTGTGTCAACTACGATATTCATCCTGACATATCTGGTGTTTCGCGTAAATTTGGTTATGGTTGTTGTGACAACAAGCCGTCACCGAAAAGTGAAAACAGATCGCACGAAAACGCCGTTTGTATGAATTTTTGAGCATGTTTTGACTATCTGGTAGATTAGTTGCCCTGAGTCAAAAAAGTTCTGGTTTTTCTTTTGATGAGATGCTAGCTGTCAATATCAATAACCGAAGCAATGTTTCCTGGAAACGTTTGCAAGTTCAATTCATTTCGTCCTTTTGCAGCGACATGATAGCTGAAATCTGCTGCAACGCATGCTGTTACAATGCACTTTTACATCACTTGATATCAACACACTCGACCTTTAATCCTCGAAGATACAATCATATGAATTAGGAGCTTGTACATGATGAAACTAGCAGTTAAGGATAATATTGAAAATTGAAGTACATCACTTACTTATTCTTTCACAGAATCTATATGTTAAGTTACTTAAAAGTCAAAGAGAATATTAAGGGATTAAATTGCTGTACCTGGCAACAATTTAACCACCATCTGGAGACTGCAGGCATTAGGAAATATAGTCTAATAGTATGGTATCTAACCTTTTAGCGAAATGATATAAATCGCGATGTAACTTGCTTACAAAGTTTACATGAAAGCACTACGCACATTATTATGAGATTCCAAAGAGTTACCTTGGAGTTAGGAAATTGCCTTCAATTTTGATAAACATGCGACTAAGAACGCGAGTGCAGGTAACCAATCGTTGCTGCTCTGGTTATCCTATTAAAAACTAATCATAATTTGAATAAAAAAGCCCCTTTTTTGTAGCCCCTAGAAGCTCAAATAGATTGCAATGAGATTTAAAAGAGGAGCAGGAATTTTTTTGCCCGGAACAATCGACTAGGTTGCTAAGAAATGATATGACAGTTGTAAAGGAAAAAGTTCAAAGCGGGGTCGGTGTTATGATTAACTGTATAATGCTTAGAGGCAGAGTTAAAAATCATTTGGATTTCGAAGATATTTTCTTTTCTTCAAATAACCAGCATTCATAATCTTTTGAAGTCCTCACCAAATTTGCTTCAGCTTTTTGAAACTTCACTCAAAGTGATTCAAAACCTAAATCAAATGTCAATTAATAAATCAAAAACAACTAAATTAATAGACATATTGATGTTAATATATTTCTGCCCTACTGAAAACAGTTGGAACTTTGGTTCAGAGAAAAAATCTGGAAAATGTAAGGGTAAGATGAAATTAAGACCACAATCGCACAATTGAATAAAAATTTAGCTTTCTGTTTGGTTAACGAAGCGAGGTATTTAGCATAGAATTGCAAGTCGAAAACGAAGCTTGGTTGATCTTGTTTCGAACCTCTTGTTTCGCTCTCAGGATATAAACAAACTATACCATTGCTGTTTCTCTTTTTCTTATTTTTATTTAATTAAGCGGTCAAGGAAAATTCATTATCTGGCTCGTTATTCTTGGTGAACGAACTTAAAAATCGATATGGCACGATTCGCGTAGCGATGAATGTGATATACGTTTTCGCATGAAATTTAACGTGGAATTCCTTGGTCAGCTAATGAATTTTCCTATAGACTTATGTGTTTCAGATCAACATTTTACACTGAAAAGATAAAGTAAAGGTGAAAGAGTTCTAACTCAGGCACTTCTGTTCTAGGCTCTCTTCAACGTTCACTTAATCATCTAGGAAATATCAAGCGATCTTTTATCGGGCGTAAGATACATATCAAGGGAGCGCCAAAAGGTGTTATCGTGACCATAAATGGGCAAAGAGTTGACCCAAATACTGGCAGTACAGTATTACCTATACAGCCACCACAGCCAGTTCCCCAGCCAGTACCACAACCAGGTCGGAATGTTCCCATTAATGTTCATGTTCACGTCAACAAAAAATACAACGATGCCAACGTTATTGGTCAAAGAAAGCAGCCTATTATAATCACTGCGCCCAATCCTTATCGAGCTGTGAGACCAATTGTGATTCCGATGCCAGCGCAAATACCGGCTCCACAGCCACTTATATTGCCTGCTCCATTGCCTCCTCCTCCACCCCCAGCTGTCCTTCCAGCGCCTATTCCATTACCTTTACCAGCACCTCTACCACCACCAGTTACCATTCCAGTTCCAGCTCCAGCACCACCTCCAGATAAAGAAGACTTAGCTGAAATCCTTCAAACAGCTGCATTGCTTAACACCCTCAACAAAAAAGAGGAAAGTCGTCCAAAAGTTATACCAGTTGTTCAGCCAGTAATTACGCCGATGGCTTATCAGCCTGGCAGAAATCCAGCGCAGGGATATCCGGCTGGTGGAAATCCAAATCAGGGATATCCGGCGAGTGAAAGTCCGAATCAGGGATACCCGGCGGGTGGAAATCCAAACCAGGGATATCCGGCGGGTGGAAATCCAAACCAGGGATATCCGGCGGGTGGAAATCCAAATCAGGGATATCCGGCGGGTGGAAATCCAAATCAGGGATACCCTGCTGGCGGAAACCAAAACCAGGGATATCCAGCCGGTGGGGGAAATGAAAATCAAGGATATCCGGCAGGCGTAAGCCAAAACCAAGCCACTGCAGGGAAAGCTACAGCAGGATGTACAAATCCTCTTTCTGCACTATCTGGAATCCTGCCTTTGTTGCTTCCCTTCAATTGCCGTTGTGGGTGCGAAAGAAGGTGCCCGGATCTTTGTAACCTTTGCAAAGACGTCGACGAGGAACTAATTGACACATTAGACTGTTGCAAATCAATGCCATGTCCCTGTGTAAACGCTGGAACAGGCACACAGCCTGCAGGAGTAACTGTAGCAGGAACTGCGGTAGCTCCCGTTGGGGGCGCTGTAGTTTCTCAGCCACAGCTTGGTGCTGCGCAGCCTGCACCAGCCGCAACCGTAAACCAAATACAACCCGTGTCGATTTCAAACCCTGCTACTGCCCCAGTAATTCTCTCACAAACAGGTCAGGGGCCATCATCGCAGCCAGCTTCAGCTCCTCCTCTCCTTTTACCTCGACCTCAGCCTCCCAATGCAGCATCGCAACCTGCATCAGCACCACCTCTGCCCTCTCTCGGGCAGCCAGCCTCAGCGCCCCCTCTCACCTCCCCATCTCGCTTACCTGGACCTCAGCCACCTGGCCCAGCATCGCAGCCAGCCTCAGCACCCCCAACTCTACCACTTCTTCCTCCACTACCACAAACCCCTCCTTTGTCATCTGGAACTAAATATCCTGGTACGGTATCTCAGCCGTCCGCTCAAGCTCCTCAACCTCCACCGTCTGGTTCTGCTCAAGCGCCTGCTGTGCTACCCCCACCTCCACCCAAACCAGAAATTTCTCCTCCTAAAACAACCCCATCAAAATCAGAGGGTGCGGTTTCTGTATTCCCCAGCGCTGTTGTACCACCTGAGCCAGAGATTCCAGCTCCAGGTCCTCCTGGTTCGACTGTCCCACCTACGCCCGAGATTCCAGGGAAAGGGATAAGTGCTGGAACGAACGCTGAAACACCTGGGAACGAAAGTCCTCCATCTGAATCAGTACCACCTCCCACTGATACAGGCTCTCCAGATTCTACCAATTCAGGTACTCAAGGCGAGTTAGTTGCTCCTCCTCCAGACAGCTCCGGACCCATCGAGATCCCAAAAGTTCCTGTCTTACCGGGTGAATCATCACCCATTGGTGAGTGCTACGTCTGGCAAAAATGATGAGTAAAACCGTATTTGGAATAAGCAGGAGTCTTGACCTCAATTTTGAAACCGTTTGGATGCAAAGTATCACATCTTAACAATATCCTTTTTTAAGCAAACATTCCTGACTTAACTACTTTGTTTTATTGAATTAAGATAAGGAAAAAGTCGAGTTCAACCTTGAAAAATTGCAAAAAGTAAAATGGCACAGTTGGATCTCGTGATTTACTAGCCTTTTTTGTTGATAAGTGATCGTAATGAAGTGCTCTCCAAAGTTTTAACCGTCGGATGGTTACGTCGACTATTGACTCGTTACAAAGTTTACAGCTTCTCATATTTTTACATTTGCTTTTTTGCTGATTTGTATGTATTTTAAGAATAAACACTAGCGAGAAAAACACACAACGTTTCGATGACTCCATGTCATCATTCTCAAGTGAGAAGAGAATAAAAATGAATAGTTAATTTATACCGTACGAAGGTGGCAAACGTAAAAAGTTTAAAATATTTAAAATATTTAAATAAATAATTGCGCGTGTTGAGTTCGTAAATGTAAACTATTAAATAAATAGTTTCGCGCGTATGGAATCCGATTGTTTGTTCAAAGAGGGCTTCATCTTCTTTATGAAAAGCATTTCATGAACTAAACAGTCCAGTTTCCCGGTGCACTTTTTAAGTACGTTGAAATGCTTGGTCAGGTCGCCGATGGTTTGTAGGCCGTGGTCGTTCTTTAGATGTTTGCCGATGGCCGAATTACGGTGCTCATTAATACGTTGATGTAAATGCCAGCTGGTGTACCCGACGTACTCTGCATCACACAGATCACATTTATAATTATATACAACGCATTGTTGGCTAACTATTGGAGGTTTAGGCTCACGTACTCTGAGATCTTCACAGATTTTGCGACTCATGAACACGGGATGAAGGGTGTGATCGATTTTGTTGCTTAGATCTGATAATTGCCTTTTCACTGCGTCAGCTGACTTTTGATCTTTAAAAGGCAAAACCACTCGGTGAACAGCATTTTCGTTGACGGATAATTGAGCTTGCACTCCAGGGTTTTCCGACCTAATTGAGGTGACAAAGTGAGAGATGGTGGAATTGATGAGGTGGTCGGAATACGTGAGGTTTGTAAACATCATCTTTAGATGATCACATTCAGATTTGAAGGACTCCCATGTGGACGACAGGCGGAATGCACGATTCAACATGGTCTTAAGTAGTGATTTCTTGTACCTTTTATCGACGTGGCTCTGGTGATGAAGCAATAGGCCTGTGTTTGTTGGTTTCCGATAAACACTAGTTTCTAGTTTACAGCCTTTCTTGCCTTTCTGGAAGTGCTCAAGAAAGGCTGTAAACTAGAAACTAGTGTTTATCGGAAACCAACAAACACAGGCCTATTGCTTCATCACCAGAGCCACGTCGATAAAAGGTACAAGAAATCACTACTTAAGACCATGTTGAATCGTGCATTCCGCCTGTCGTCCACATGGGAGTCCTTCAAATCTGAATGTGATCATCTAAAGATGATGTTTACAAACCTCAAGTATCCCGACCACCTCATCAATTCCACCATCTCTCACTTTGTCACCTCAATTAGGTCGGAAAACCCTGGAGTGCAAGCTCAATTATCCGTCAACGAAAATGCTGTTCACCGAGTGGTTTTGCCTTTTAAAGATCAAAAGTTAGCTGACGCAGTGAAAAGGCAATTATCAGATCTAAGCAACAAAATCGATCACACCCTTCATCCCGTGTTCAAGAGTCGCAAAATCTGTGAAGATCTCAGAGTACGTGAGCCTAAACCTCCTATAGTTAGCCAACAATGCGTTGTATATAATTATAAATGTGATCTGTGTGATGCAGAGTACGTCGGGTACACCAGCCGGCATTTACATCAACGTATTGATGAGCACCGTAATTCGGCCATCGGCAAACATCTAAAGAACGACCACGGCCTACAAACCATCGGCGACCTGACCAAGCATTTCAACGTACTTAAAAAGTGCACCGGGAAACTGGACTGTTTAGTTCATGAAATGCTTTTCATAAAGAAGATGAAGCCCTCTTTGAACAAACAATCGGATTCCATACGCGCGAAACTATTTATTTAATAGTTTACATTTACGAACTCAACACGCGCAATTATTTATTTAAATATTTTAGATATTTTAAAGTTTTTACGTTTGCCACCTTCGTACGGTATAAATTAACTATTCATTTTTATTCTCTTCTCACTTGAGAATGATGACATGGAGTCATCGAAACGTTGTGTGTTTTTCTCGCTGGTGTTTATTCTTAAATGTCTAACAAAATCTAATGTCATTTGTATGTATTTATGAAGAAATGCACTGTTTATGCCTATCAGTATGTGTTTGCGTAGAAAACTTTGTTTGGTGTTTCCAATATCTTTGAGTAGTTTCCGTTCTATACTTAAGTCCTGAGCATATCTCTGAAAAATAGCTCGCGTAAATTTAAATGCATTTTTCCTATTCTCATTCCCTTTAAGGTCCGGGACCACCTGTTGCAAATCCAGTACCTCCTCGTTCAGCTCCGTCTTCCACAAATCCTTCGCCTCCACTTCCGTCATTGCCACTCATGAAGACTGCATATTCGGTGCGTCCTCCAGCCCCTCAGGTATTTATCATAAAAGAAAATAGCAATCCAACGAAAGACCCAGAGGAAAGTAAAAGTGCTGAAGCGCTTAATAGTTTAAGCGAATCATTTGAAAGTGCTTTCAAAGAAGCACTTAAGTCAGAACGAAGAAAAGTAAGACCATATAGCAAGCATCCTAAAGAGCATTTTAGTGATAAACCCGAGGAAGAAGACAATTTGAATACAAAAGACAACGAAACTGAGGATCAAGAGGAAGAGGAGGACGAGGAGAAGGTGCAGTCTCATGGCGGCTCTCGGAGAGATTTCACTGACAGGGAAGACACTAAACTCAAAGAGGATTTTTCTATCGATGACAAAAATGATGATGGCGGTGAAGATGAAGATAATAATAATGATGACGACGATAATAATTCTGATTCTAATACTGATGAAACAGATGACGATAATAAAAATGATGATCATAACAATGATGATCATGATAATGATGATCACAATAATGATGACGACGATGACAATGACATTGATATCGAGGCGGACAAAGAGCCGCCATACGACTTGAATCAACCTCGTCACTCTCATTCTCTCCCACATGTCAGAGGAAATGAGCAACGATATGAGAGGAGACGCAAAATGCATCAGAAAAATAAACGAAAAAAGTATGTAAGACTTCATGATTATCATCGAAATGGACAACTGCGCAATGAAGACTCGAGAGAGAATGAACTGTCATATGATCGCTCAGTCAACGGTGTTCTCAGCCGTGATCGTGACAATGTTCAGTCTCGTTATGATAGCGATAAATACACATTACCAAAAATAGAGAAGGACAGGGAACTGTTACGAGAACATGATTCAAATTCAATCCATGTGGAAAATGTGAAAAAAAACCCATCTGAAAGTACTGAGATTTCCCGCCTTCGTCATGAAGGTGCAAGTAAGACTTTCAAGAGCCCAAAACATCGTTTAAAATCATCAGAATTCCCTGAGGAAAAGTACCGTGTACTTTATAGTCACGATAGAATCAAATCTGGTCATTTGCAGGACAAAGGCTCAGACAAGGAAGAAGGCCGCCAAAAAGAGGAACATCATGATCATCACCAAAGTCATTCAAAAACTGCATTGTTGCCTGAAGATGAAATCATCGAAGAGTCAGGTTCAAGCATCGAAGAAAATAGTTTTTCAGGGGATAGTGTAAAGGTTAATTCCTTAAAGTCATTAAAGAACTTCTTAACCTCGACACACTACGACAGAGGTGTATATCATCACCTGGTAGAAGACACTCGTACCAAAGACAACAAAACTCCTATTGGCACAGTGGAGTCATTTAAACCTGGAAATCATAGAAAGTTTGATAAACAGGGCAAATCAAAACAGGAAGAGAACATTGCAGAGGATTCTAGCGACAGTTCGAGCGATGAATCTGGTCAAAATGACATCAGTGGCAATTATGAAGATACTGGCTGTTAGTCACATTTATTCACACATCGTTTGAAAAATAAGGTTTCTTACCGTAAAGTCGACAATCGTCACTTTAAATCAAAAGAAAGTTATTTTTACTTTTTATGGCTGAATTCATTTTGTCTCATTTACGTCATGGCCGGCGAAGCTTTTTTTTACTATTTAAACTGTTTAATGAACATTCAGATTCTATTACCAAAGTTTTCGATTAGGTTTGCAATTTTTCCCCGAGAGAACATTAAATACGATTATATTCAAAATTTGTGGGCTGCTGAAGGATGTTTTCTATCGACATTTCACTTACTTTTGCGGCTTCTTGGATGGTACACTTAACAAGTGAGGAGATGGGGAAACGGCAAATTAGGGCGTGTCTAAAGGGAGGTGGAGGTCCCCAGGCAGGTGAGGCAACCTGGCCAGCTACACTACATACAATCTTACTATCCTGGAATCCCGGGTTGAGGTTTCCAGAGGATGTTGGCGCGCTTGCAAATTTAACATGAGCACGACCTTTGAGACGTTTACATAGCAAATTGTGACCCCGTCTGACAGGTTTGACTTACCCACCAGACCAGGTAACCCGCCAAGAAAATTTGAAAAAATTTTTGCAGCCCGTGGGACTGATCACAGCCTGTTTACAAACAACTCTCGGCCTATAAAGCAGTTTTTTTTATGGAAGTGTGGGTGAACTGTTTTCCTGATAAAAATGAAATAGTGACGATAAATATTTATCTACAGGTGCAGGTGTTTGGTGGATTTTCTTGCACTCGAGCCGTACTACTGGCCAATGGAATTAAAAATCTTTTGAAAAAGTCAAGAAATACACGAACAGTGTATGCGTTTTTCTACTTTCTTTGCCATTTTCTTGACCAATTACCTTTCAGCGCTACATCGTCAGTAAAAGTTTCATAGCACTTTGCAACGGTTCGCAAAAATAATTACATATTTTTTAATTGATCATATTAATTGTTTAAAAGTTCAGGAGAATGTCAGATATAGAAATTGCGCGAGTTGCACTCTTTCACCTATTTATACTTTCGTCGCTGACTTAAGAGGTACGACATATTTTACTAAGTTGTAAAAACCAGCTTAGGTATGCACTCTGCAAAAGAAGGAATAACCAACTTTTTTTGATAAAAATATTTTTATTTCCGAAGTAGGCTTCTTTACAGCTCACATGCCATTGTCGCAAATCTGTTTTGTGCTGTAACTAAAGATGAGATGAACGAATAATGAATGAAGTTATTCCTAACGTAAGGTTCTTACTTTTGATACAAAATGACCATGAAGGAAGATTACGGATCAACTCGATACAAGCCGAGAGAAATAGCTTTGAGACATTCCTATCTATAAAGAAGAATCTCTAACTGAATGTAAGATTATAATCAATAACTATCTTGCAATTATGATATGAAACACCTTATTTTTACCACGCTCTTATTAAAGATCATTCGAAGCTGGTAACAGCTGACACTAGCAAGATAATAATTTCTCTTTTTTATCATCATTTTCTTAATATTTCTATAAACAACTTTCTGATGAATTATATGATCATTTTTACTATTTTTTTCTCTTTGCCATATGTAGTATAACTTTACGTTATCAGATATTACGAAGACTGTCTTTTCTCAAAGTAGGGTTGATCAATTTACATTAACCGGGTTGCATGCACATGGTTATAGTAGAAACGAAATGAAACTTCCGCCAGTCCTTTCTTATCTGGCCTTCGGCCGAGTTCTGCGTTGAAACAAAAATCAAAGAACTCTTCCCTTCGCAGTTTTTTCTTTCCTCTTGCTCCCTTACGAAAAAATCTTTGGCATACGTTGATTATAAAACTTTTCAGTTTCTTACTAACTGTATTGCTCGACGTCGGTATAGTATGCTGTTTCCACGAAGTACAGGTGAAAATTTGAATACTTTTTTCTCTCCCCATTGCTGAGTTAAATTTGCGAGCTATCATCTGTTAGGTAGCGTCAATAGCGCGAGTGCCTTTGCTAGTTCTCTTTCTTCGTTCATTCTTTGACTTTGTCGCTGTGTCTGTGAAAGTAGCCTTCTGCGTTCCGCTTGAGCTTGTTGGTAGGGTGTCGGTGTGATTACTGTAAGGGGCCTGCGAGATGAATCGTATAGGACTCTCGCCGATGGTGGAATTGTCCTCATGCTTGCGATTTGTTGCTGAATATGAAACAAAAATATGCTTTGTTATAACCGACCAGGAAATCATAAAAAATCTAGGAAACAATGTTGCAGTGTGATTACAAATATTCTCAACAAACGGCGCCTTTAGTTGCTATCTCATTTGCTAATCACTTTGGGAGTTACTGTCGTTAAGCGGATTTTCGGAAGAGGTTAATACTGAGCTACCTTACATGTTTAATCTAAATTACAAGAAAAACATACAAAAGTGTTATTTTTATCACCTTATTAGAAGCAATCGATTTAGTTATTAGGTTAGAAGCTACGACAAATTGATGAAGTTAGACCATAAAAACGTCGTGAGAGTATAAATTTTGACGCATGCCCTTTTAATGTTAAAGTCACAAAATAAGTCATTAATTATCGTTATGTTGCAAACTTACGTCAGAGAGGTTGTCCACGCATCACGAATTCCATACACATTGTCGCGTTGCAGTCAGCAAATATCGTGAGTGGATCATCAATATGATGACGATTTTTATCGTGAGTTAACAATAGTTTTATCGCCGTAATGCTGTGGCTTTCATGCCTTGTTGCAACATGTACTGTAGCAGTAATATCGATGCACTACATAATTGTTAGGAAGCACAAAAACCGCTGGGAACTCATAAAGATGTGAACGTTGTATTTGGAGGTCTGACGCAGATAAAAGTTCCTTTTGAAATACCTATGGTGGAAACTTACAAGGAAAATGCGATTGCATCATTGTTTGCATCACTTTAGATGATTTCTCAGATTTCTCATTTGTAGTCTTCTTGAAAAGATTTGAATTTTGTTTTTGAATAATTTGGTAGGAAGAAGAAATGATCTGATATTTTCACGATCGATCACCGAAAGTAATTGTCTGAAAGCTTTCAAAAAAGAGGAAAGCTAACTCCGTTGGAGGCCAATTGTCGCTCTTTCTGTTATTCATAAAGACAACACGTTTCCGTTCCGTTATGTTTGCTTCAGTACATTGTTTTATTGTCATGAAAGTAATTGTAAATATTATGGTGCCCTGGTATGGTTAATGGGAGCTTTACTTATTAACAAAACATATTAGCTTATTAGAAACTATAAACCTGTTGATGTTATTTGTTTGCATGCGCAATGATTTTCATTTTAATTCATTATCTTAAAGTAATATCCCTTCTTAAAATCAAAATTAATAAGTTTGATTAAGTTTCATTACGAAGCAAACTCTATTTACATTATTTGTACACATCAAAAATCGTCTAAAAAATAATTCTACATATCGCCCTCCTACGATCAATGTTCAGAACTCCATTTTTAAAAAAATACATAACCTTAGACCGACTCGTGGAGTTGTCATGTTACTCTTACATAGCATCGTATGTTTGCGGAAATATGCAATTTGCATATATCAAATTGTTTTGGTCTTCTTTTTGTATCATGGTTATGGGTGACCTGATTTATAGGTATCTTTTTTTTAATTGGTAGTGGTCACAATCTTTTTGTACAGTTCAAATCGTAGTTGGTGTAGGAAAGTTGTCACGTGTGGAACGAAGTACTCTGCAGACGAAGTAATAGTGTTATTTGTTTACTTATTGTATCATCAGTGTGGGTGAGCTGTTGTTCCTGTTGCTCTTGGAGCGGGAGTGCAGCGTTGCATAATTTGTTTAAGTCCTCTGGATGGTCTACAGTCAGAATAAATCTCTTTACTCGCAAAAAAAAAATTCCTCGCGAGTATGAATCAGAAGAGAAACAATTGAGAATCGCAAAGCGAAATTTAAATTTATCAAAACTACCAGCTAAGGCAAAGGCAAATGTTAAACGAAACTGGTGAAATTTAAAATTTGATACCAGTAAACGACCCAAAGAGCGGAAAAACGCGAGCCCGAGCTGTGGTTGGCTTTGAATTATTCATCTGATTGCCTGGGTGCTTAGGAGAATTTCCAAACCAATCAAATGCTGTGACTGTTGATGCTGGAAACTAATCCCTTCGATCCAGTACCTAGCCTGGAATTACACGTTGTTAAATGACGGCTGCCTTTCATTACGTCCCTTTCACAACTTTTTTGCTGTTTTTCCTTTGATTCGCTATAGATTTCCCCATTAATCCACGTTTTTTCTTTTTCTTTTTGCGCTTACCATACCTTAACCTGAGGATATCATTTAATACTCTTTGCAAATATTGCTGTGTGCTAGACCGAGTGTTAAGAGAAGGCAGTCTTTGGAGCTGGTAGTATAGTTGGTACGGCACTGTCTCTATATAGATAGGTCGGTTGGAAAGTCTGTTTGTTAATTGTGACTTTCTGGTTCCCACAGCAGAAAACTGTGGGTAAATCGTCTTTTGTGCCTGTGTAATCGTGTTTAGTGTTTTCATGAGCGGAAGAGAGTTCGGCTGTCCTTTACCTTGCCCTTGTAGAGGAAGTGAAAAAGGAGCTTGTACCTCTTGCCTTCCATATGCATTTTTAGTCAAAGGGCCCGCGGGAGTCTTCATCAAGCTTGTTATAAGTCGGTAATATGGAGTATAAAGAGTCTGTGAAAGTTGTTTTGGATTAACCTGGGTGGCCATGTTGGTTTGTGCTGTTGAGATCCTTACTCCAGTTTGTCCTGTCATCGTAGGATTTGTATGTGTTATAACTTCCCCTGGTTTTTTGTTAAAGGCAGCACTGGAAATTTGGGCTGTTAACGTTTGCAAGAAGTTTGTATTCTTTTCTTCTCCACGGATGTTTGCAATTTTTGTTAAGGCCTTGCTAATTGTCCTAGGATAAAAGTAATAGTAGAGCAATACCTGGGGTGGCGCTGAATATGGAGAAGATTGCAGACTGGGTGAAAGACCAACACTTGGATGATAAGCTGGAGGTTTCTTACCATAGGCTTGTGGACGTAAAGGAGGGAAAGACCGGCTTGAAGCTTGTGCGGCCACGGGGGAGACACGATTTCCCCAAGCCACCCAAGGCCAAGACTTTTGCCCATAAATCAAATGTGGCCTGAAGGGAGATATTCCTGGCTGTGCATTTCCAGTGACACCTTTCTGAGTAATTGATGAAAGAAGACCCTTTAAACTTGACTGCGTCCTTGAGGCTGGCAAAAGGAGTCTTTGCTGTAGCTTTGGAGAATATGGTGCCTTTGGATAATACTTGGCTTTATACGGATGTCCAGAGGGCAATTGCTTTTGAAAAGGTGGGACCATTTGTGGCATCTTTTTTGGCCATGGTATGGTCGTCAAACTGTTGCTCGTCGAGACATGACTGGGTTCTTCAAGCGAGGCCATCTTATATGCAAGTGATTGTTGTCGACTGGGAGCTGTCGCTCGTTGGGCCCTGGCTCCACCAGACTGAGTGTTCATGTTACTGAGAACCCGAAGGGGAGGCATGAAGTTTACTTTCTGCCTTTGGTGTAACGTTTGCTGGCTTAACGGAGATTTTTGAATCGAAACACCATAAGGAATTTGCATGCCAACTGTCTTGTTCTGCGAGAGCATGCCCTGAACGATATTCATCGGCTTTGATTGTCCAAACAGCCGTTGACCTGTCGAAAGAGCAGAGTAAAACGGCTTTTGAAGACCTCCAGGAAGTCCTTGCATCGTGCCTCCCACGGGAATGTGCCATATAATTGGTTTCTGAAGTTGTGCATTATTATTCATCCTATTCAGAGACAATTTCAACTGAGCTGTCTTTGATTCTTGTTTAGCATATTGTTTTTGGAAACCCCCGGGTAGTCCTTGGCTCGTGCCTCCAACCGGAATGTGCCATATAATTGGTTTCTGGAATTGTCCAACATGATTCATCCTATTGAGAGACATGTTCGGCTGAGTTATTTTAGATTGTTGTTTTGCAAATTGTCTAGTTAATCCTTCTTGAACATTAAAATTATTTGATATTTGAGCCTTTCCGGCGATATTTTGCACATCAGGAGCCCGTTGAGTTCCAGGTGTATTCATTTTGATCACACTAGGAGGACGATTCTTATTAAATTGCTGCGTATTAACCGAAGCTTGTGATGAAAATGGTCTGACCACATTAGGCTGATGGTTGTTATTCACCCTCTGGGCAATAATTGCAGTATCCTGCCTTACTGAAGCTTGTGTTGCATATGGTGTTGACACACCAGGCAGATGCTTGTTCCACATATTAGCAGACAAGGGACTAGGCACTAGTGGTGAGCTATCTGCCGCTGGCTTTATGCTCGTGTGTAATGCAGGTTTGTAAAATGTTTGTGGTTTGCCTGGATGAGGAGATAGCGAATACCCTTGAGGTGGTCTATAGCGCATTGGCGGGTGAACATCGTTACGAGGAGGCTCTCCAACAGTCAGACTGGCAAGTATTTGTTGCAAATTACTGGCGACGTAGTCGTTTTGAGGAGGTTTTCTTTGATAAGCTGATGATATCGGATTTATACTCTGAGGTTGAGGCTTGTAAACAGCGGCCGGTCCATTCTTTCGTAGCCCATTAACAGGCGGTGTCATGATTGCTGTAGAGCCTCGTGTGGTTGAAGACTCCTCTGTCACTTTCTTTGGTTTATGTGCTGATAAAAGAAAAAATTAAATTGCGTTAAATAGGCTGTAAAGTTCGAGATTCACTCAAGATAGTACAAGGCTAGAATGTCGAGGGAGGATGGCCTAGGGGGGTGGTAGTAGTACTAGTATTTTTACGTACTGAAATAGACGCGGCAGTGTCTCATCAACACCAGTATTTCCAGACGTGGTAGCTCACAGGGGAAAATATAGAACTCGTCAATCATTCCTCGTAGCAGTCGATTTCCAAATTGATGTTTATGACGACCTGCAGATAAAAAGAGCTAACTTTAAAAATTGAGTTTAGTTAAAACTTTTTAGTTATATAAACCCGGAAACACAATAACTCCAGAGTGCAGGGAAAAACTGATGGATCAGAGACTTTACTCATGATTTATTATGTTATCCAAAAATCACATACCTATTCCGGCCTTGCCTCCCCAGTCTTGGGACAAAAAGCCTTGTCCGATCTCCTCCTGAACCATGTCTCCATTAACATATACCTTACAAAGAAACGCGTTCTATATCAGTGATGCATGGAGGAAACGTTACTAAATTTGGGATCACGAGAGAGTGCTTATTCTTGATATATTCTATTATTTTATTTATCTAAGGTATTTAGGAAGGCTGACCCAGTTGGGAAAAATTGTCAGACGAATCGTCACTTTTCTTTTTTATTACGACACTTACTCTTGCCCGCTGTTTCTTCGCGCTATAAGTTGCTGTAATTTGTGTCCAGACTCCTTCGCCCACCACGGCCCGTGATAGCAGACTGAATATTGTGTCATGATTTTCATTTCTGTGAAACCATCGCACTTTTCCATTTTCAATTTCAAAGTGGTACTGGCCATCTTTGTGCCTGGAGTGGCTCCCAACAGTGTCAAATATCGATTGTATTCCTTTGTTTGTGTCGAGTTTAAGCCAAGTTGATATGGTAATTCCTTCCCTAGGGATTTGACGAAAGTGCTCGCCATCCAGTAAAACATCTCCACCTGTTGTGATAACCAGATAAAAGTGAAAAGTGTTTCTCACTGCCGAAGCCGGAAACGATTGCAGTAATGATACTAGCCCAATGTAGCATATGAGATAATTTAGTTTTAACAACTGGGTTCAAAATGTAAATTTACCAACGTAAAGAGCTTCCTAAGCTAAAGGTTCGAGCGCTAAGCCTTCGTCAGAGCGAATGGTACATAGCTTTGCAAAGATTTTAATTGGGTTAAATGGCGAATTAGTGAAAATTTGCTTCATTGTATTTCATTCTCATTTCTTTATCGTTTATGGATTTTTTTAATGACGTAATCCCATAACAGGGTCAATGTGTAACTTTCGAAGTTGAAAATCAAATCGATGTATGATTTTGCACTTTGAACGTAATAATATAAACAATGATTACTGAGTAGATCAACATAAAAACTCGAAAACAAAAAATTAATAAAGAAAAGAAAAGCTGAGAGAGAAAATAGGGATCACAATGGAAAACTTCTTCTAGCTGCAATCTGTTTGCTGCATCATAATTCCATATGGCAACATGGAAATGGTAGCAACGGTGATGAAGAGAAAGACTAAAAGAGATGAAGCACACTTGAAGTCTTCATAACGTACCTAGTAAGTTTGCTGCGTTACCACATTTCCCACCATGAGGTACGATTTGTGCCCCGTTGGCGAGGAAACCTCTGTTTTCACTTCCTGAATCATCTAACAATGCACTCTGGGTATACTTGTCAAAACTCAGATGGACTGAGGGCGGGCAGTGGGCTGGATGTGAAAAAAAAGTTGCAGGGTGCTCAAAACTCCAGAAAACATCAAATAAAGAGCTTTAAATAATAGGGAAATATATTCTTATCAAAGCTCTTCACGATTAGTTTCCTGGAAGATTGACTTTACGAATAAAGGATTGGCGTTTGTTGATAGTGCTTTTCAACTCTTTTACAATTCTATGAATACTTGTCATTTGTTAATACTTTGGTGTTCATTGTGGTCTTGATCTAATTTTTGTAGAGCACTGCATTGGTATATCGCGGAGATCATGGTTCAAATCCTGTCCAGGCCTGAAATTTTTTCAGGCCTTATTTTCACTACAGCTGAAGTAATGGTTATCACTGCGACGATCGCTTTCATATTCAAATCAGTGACTGTAACATGAGTAGGTACTGATGATGCTCACATTCACAGTAGTCCCCAACGTATCCCAGCCGACAGACGCATTTAGATATTCCTGGTTTGCATGTTCCGCCATTCTGACACGGAGACACCAAACAGCTCCAGTCTTTGTCCAGTCGGGTTTCCACTGAAATGTACACAACAGTAAATCGTGTCAAAAACTGGCCCATAAAGCCGACTCCAATTTGCTCATTAAACTAAAAAACATTTGTACTTTTGTCATCAGTGGCGCATAGGGACATGCCAAAACTCTACACTAGGGCTTACAAAGATCGGAAGAAACTCTTGGCATTGGCTGCAGTAGGGAATTGCTAGTGTTAATTTTATGTGACAAAGTAGATTTTGCAGGGGTACCGAGAAGATGCAATTACAACACTTTGATCATATGGCCAATTGGATGGTCGAGGGGACTCAATAAAACTGTGCGTTTTGAACCCTTATTGCTTGTGTAGCTTGGGTATGGGCCCGAGATGGGTCGGAGATGCACGGTTTAATAGATGTACGACTTGTGTTTCTCGTGTGTGAGTTTCCGAAGGTTAATAAGACGTTAGTCGTGTCATTGCTTGTCTTGTTTATGTTACACTTGATGGATATTGCATCCACAATTTCCATTTTCCTCTTTTATAATGGAAATATTGTTAAGGGATAGAAACCGTAGTGTCAATATCTATCGATTTCCGTTTTTCAGCAAAACTAGAGGATGACTTGGTGTCTTTTTATTTGTCCTCTATCTCACCCCAGCATTCCAGGCCGTCTCCAACAAAACCACGCTTGCAGATGCAATGTCCTCCCACACAGTGCGCGTTGAGGTCACAATGCTGGCATTCCTCTGTTGAAACGAATAAATTCAATTCATAGATAAAATTTTCATGCAAAAAATGCGCTAAACGTATAAAGAAAGAAGAAGGGAAAACAAACAATCCCACAAAGATCTGAAAAAATAATTCAACGATGAACACCGAGAGAAGGATCTTAAAATTGCAATAACAAGATGCATCGCATACATTCTTCAGTGGATTGATAAGTTATGCCTACCAAAGAAATCCATATATTTGCTACTCACCACCTCTTCCGGGAAAGAATTTAGGGGCTGAGGAGTAGGTGTAGGCTCCAATATCTTAAAAAAAACAAAACCATAAGCCGAAGGTGAGGGTAAGTCCTCAACATAAGCCTTAAAGGCACCCTCGTAAGCTTTATGCTGGACTGCCTAAACCCCATTAAGTCCGACATCCAATTAGTATTTCGTCCTGCTTGCTACCATACAGTTTCTTGTAAATTAGCCATTACCATAACATACTCTAATTGATAGGCTTTTCTCTTCTCAAAACCGATTGTAAGATAACGTAGAAGAATCTTGAGGAGAAGTACAAGTCAACCATTTCTGGGGGTTAAAGCGTTAGGAGCAATATGTAAGAATGACGCTGGCTATCATTTTGGGATACTTGATTTAGGGTAGTTATCTCCGGAATTATATTTGATTGCTAGTAAAAGCTTTGAAGTGCGTTATTTATCTGCCTCAGCATTTAGCTTTACAGGACAGGAAAAATGTTGGAAGTCAAACACAACAGAAGTAACGTTCACATGTAGAAACGGTTCACTCGCTGTGGTTAATAAGCTAACTAGTGCTCAAAGGAAGTAAGTGTCTAACAAACCTGTGGTGCTGCGTCGGTTGAGTATAAAAAGATAGTTTAGTTTTATAAAACGTGTTGATAATTTAAATTGGCCGCCGCAAAGTGTTTTTTACGCTTACTTTTCGAACGTAGGCCCTTCGTCAGAGCGAATAGAAAGACGAAGGACTAACGCTCGAAAATTAAACTTTAGAAACTCTTTATGGTGGCCAATTCATACTATGAACTCAGTTAATAAAACCAAATTATCTTGGAATTAGTGTTCAGCGGGAGAGGACAAAATATGAGGTGTAGAGGTCCTCAACACTTGTTAACTGACATGAATTATGAGACTAAACGTCACTCAGTACTGTTATAGCTGTGTAAAATTAGAGTATGTTCAGTCAACAGTCAGTCAAACCTTCGCAACTTGGTCCGGAAAAGTCACCTCGGCAAAAGCACTCGAAGTCATCGTCAATCGTCTCGAGGCACACAGCAGAGTTGCGGCATGGATTCGCCGGGCAAGCGTTAACTAACGTTCGTAAAAGAGAAATGTCATGTCTTCGTTTGTCACACCTGGGTATATTTTCATCAGCATTTGAACAATCTGTATCTGCTCACTAGTAATACATCATCGTTAGTCTTAAAGAATTTTTTGTCTTGAGTGTCTGGTTCAATGAGCAACTGCGCAATTACCCCTCCCCTAAGCCATCATTAACTCTAACTTATTATCAGTTTCTTGTTGTTGAGTTACAGGAAGAGAAGGTTCACAGTTTCCCAGAAGCTGAAAATGATCCAAATGTCTAGCGTTGGACCTTCGTACTTATGTTAACAGTAATTGTTGCTGTGAATTGAGTACCCCTCGAATACTTAGATGATTTGATTTTCTCTTGGGCGCTTCTCCTAGGTATATGTTAAAACGGAGTTGCAGTGAGAATGTTTTCAAACGACTTGCGCTCAGTACCTTAAATGATATAATGCCAAGCCGTTATGCCCCAAAACGGTTCTAAGTAAGCCATTTAGAGAAGGATGTTCAGGAGGAAAGTGTCTTCCCTTTACTGGCACGATGTAGACAACTGCCAGTTGATTCTTTTATCCCTAAAGTACTTTTCGTGTACCACCCCTCTTCTCCACAGATTAAATTTCTCACCTTTGAAGTGTTGCGTTGTCTTACGCACAGGAGATATCTCTGTCATGGACTTGGCTGAAGGAACAGGAGGTGGTGGAGGAGCCAAAGCTTGCTGAGGAATGAGAACTATAGGAAAAAAAAAGAGACTTTTACCATCAGTTTTTATGCCAAGATGGTAAAGAAAATTTTAAAATTAATATGCATACGGAATTTACTCAAATAGTTCGCGAAGCTTATCCCGATTACTGTGTCAAAGTTTTTTTCCCTCCTTCTGGATGCCAGTGGTAGTAACCCAACGTTGCTTATTTCTATAATTTCGCCGGGTTTCCCGATGGCTTTATGGTATCCACTTGATTTCATAATGGGGAGAGTGCGATGAGTTTAAAATGTAGTAAAACAACTCTGACCCTGGTTCTGAAACGTAGCCTTATTCTGATCTAGTGTTTAACGCGCCGACTACGGGTTCTCTCATACTTGAAATTAATGTACATACGAGAAAAATTAGCGCTAAGTTGAGGGGTTTAGAGTAACCACAATTACCGATGCATATGTCAACGTCGAAAGACAACACTATAGTAACCCTCAATTTTACGCATTTGACGGAAAGTAAAGATATACGAGAGCCATTTTGTTAATTTACCTAAATTAAGATAGTCCCTTTTCGTGCCAAAAGCAACAGTTGATTGCAATGGATGTTAAGAAAAAGTGATAACCTCAGCACTTACTATTGCATCGTGTTCCTCTGTATGCCGTTGGACATTTACAAAGGTATACGGTATAGAAGACCAGACAACTGCCACCGTTATTACAGGGGTTTGGATAACATGGATTATCTAAAAACATGGAAATCTCAGAGTTTATTCACAGTAGATCACAGCTTGACATTTACCCTCGTAGCCAGTATTTACACTATTGGTGCCAGATTCACTTACATTTTCTGAATATTTTTGATCGGTCATAAAATAAAGTTAACCTAGAACGCAAAACATAATGCGAAACCTAAACCATAAACAAAGGTACAGTGCGCTTATTAAATCTCCCTTCTGCAAAGGCCATATAGTAAAAGTGGTGTACTCAAAATGATTCTTAAAAGTGAAACCCAGAAAAAAAGGAACCTTTATGATGAATTTCATGCCACTTTTTCTCTTGTGTGGTAAACGCCTGGCTAATTCATTTTCAGATTTACTGTCGGTAAATCTTAACAAGTTTCGTATATTTCTGGGCAATGCTCACTCTCCGCTAATGAATGGTGAACAGGGCAAGGAACTTACTCTCGCAGTGTGGCCCGTTGAATCCATCTCGACATTTGCACTGGTAACCCTTTCCACGAACCGTGACGCACAATCCGTCATTTTTACAAGGGTTGGGAAGGCAAGAATTTACTGAAAAAATGGAGCGAGAAACATTATACAGCTCTAGTGTTTGACCATACTAACATATGTCTAAACTTCCAAATTAGACTCGCCCCTGAAAGTGGTTTAGTGACTCTTTTATCAACAACAGGTGCTAGTAGAAGTTCTTTTATATTTAACTTTCAAAAATTTATGTTTTTCATCAAATTGGGTAAAATTGTAATTCAGTCATGATATTTGTTAATGGTATCACTTTTGTGCAATCCTTATGCAACGCCTAGTGTGTGATATGCTCAGATTTGTCATGGAATCGATTGAGATATTGTTCGATATAGTAACTTTTTAGTTTTAAAAATGTTGTGAGATCTAAGCCCTGCTCCCCCCCCCGCCCCCATCCTCCAAGGAGCTCTTTAGTGTCTGAGGCCTAGTTTGTTTTAACATTAATTTAAACGAAATAGTAAATTGGCTATTTACCTTCACAGTTGTGCCCCAAAAAGCCGTTGTGGCAATTGCACTTGTAATAATTAGCTTTATCCCGTGCGCAGAGCCCTTGGTTCTTGCACGGATTAGGGTTACAGTGGTCCACTAGGGAGATCACAAAATACTCATTAGTTCTTTATAAATATGATTTCATTTGTTGTTTTCACCTTTAACATTTCCTGTGGAAATTAATTGGCTGTCCGACAAACTCGCTTCTTCGTCATGCCCGCTTAAAATCTACTTTAGCCTCAGAGAATTGTCTGATAAAGCCCTGTGTACGAGCCAAGATGTCTGGGAATACATTTGATCGGTGACGCAAAAATTATAAAAAAGGAAAAGATAGCACTTTCACTCCAAGACCTCATTAGTAATTCTCCTTAGAGCCAGCTATACAATTCGTATTATGTTAGTTCTTAGAACTAGGTATTGTATCAACTAATAATCCCCAAATTCATATTTTTTACTAATTCTCATCACTTGTCTGCTTGATATTATATAGATATTTTAAGGAGAAATTCTGTCTTGGCCACTCATGGGAGTTAAAGAAGTAATGAAAAATGCATTTCAACAAAGCCCTCTTGGGTTAACCTTGAAGAAAGATACCTTGACAATGGAAACCGGTGAATCCTGGCTCACATGCACAACTATATCCTTTTCCTTCCTCCACGACACAAATGCCTTTGTTTTTGCACGGATTGGGGGTGCAGTAGTCAACTGTGAGTGTAATTGAAAGTTTGTTAACGTGTATAATCATTGCTGAATCAGACTGCATGTTCTCTCACTGCTGCCGTCTTTTTATGGCAGCTAATAGATTCTATTGCAATAGTGAAAATGAGTGGGCGTGTATAATTTTGAAGGGGTTAATTAATTTGGAAATAGTCTAACACGGGTGATGTAGAGTTGGTTCCATGTGCTAACGTGAGAAAATGATCCTAAATGGATGAACATGTCTGTGAATCCTGTGAGCCATAAGTTGCCAGTCGCCCTTATCAGTCTCCCTCCATAAACAGTCGTCTTTCTATTGCACAAATGCTACATTACGCAGTCATGCACTTTATGTACCCCAATGTCAACAACAACTTAGCGAGTTGAAACATGCATTTGGTCGACTTACTATGAGGCTTCAGACGAAGTCTTTGTGGCTTTGATGCTTCTGCAACACCAAGGTCTGGTTAGAAGCTTGCAAAAGTTGCATCATTCATTTAAAGCTATGTTTGCGTCTGTTTACGTTTCAATTTGTCGATGATGAAGACGACATGCTAGGTTTTTTTTTCTCGTATTCTTAAACACATTTTGATAACTAAAGTTGGAACACATTCTTGTTAGACTTTCATCGTAAACCGTATGAGTAAAAAGGAATGAGACGCACCGAATTTTGTAATTGACCCATGGTCAAAATATCAATCTTCCTTATTTGTTTTGCTGGCTCTTCACTGGCATTTACCTTATTACTTTGACGATTTCTTATTACCCATTACCCCCTTTGGTTTTTACCCTTGCAAACATTAATTTCAAAGCTGACAACTCATTGGCTGTTTTAAAGTTAATGCTGGTGTAGGGTGAAGTAGATAAATGATAATGAGTGTGATGAAGAGAAGGTTAAGTAGATCAATGATAATGAGTGTAATGAGGAGAGGCATGATTTATCTGAGATATTAGCAGTGCAGTTAACCCTTTTTATATAATCATTAGGCCATGTAATGAGCTGATTGTGCTATGCTGAATCTCCTTCCTTTCCTGTCCAGTAATTCAATCTTAGGAATGAGCTCCCTCAAAGAGAGAAAATGGGAGGAGAAGGGGAAAAGGGGAGAGAAAGGGGAGCAGGGTAGCAGAGAGGGAGGGGGATGATGGAGAATAGGGGGAAGAAGGGAAAGAAGGGGAAGAATAAGGAAAGAGGGAAGAAGGTGGAAGAAGGGGTAAGAGGGGGGCAGAGGGGGAAGAGGGGGGAAAATGGGGATAAGGGGTAAGAGGGGGACAGAGGGGGAAGAAAGGGAAAAATGGGTAGAAGGGGAAAGAGAGGCATGCGGAGCGGGGTAAAATTGGGAGAGGGGGTAGAGGGGGACAGAGAGAGAAAGAAGAAGAAATGGGGCAGAAAGGGGGGGAAAAAGGGGGAGGGGGAGAGGGGGAGGAATGCAGATGGGTAGGGAGCACAAAAATTGGGAGTGTATAGTCTGCCTCGCTTTTTTTGATGTGCAATTTAAACAGACTCACATAAACTCGTGTAAACGGGCAATGATAATAATCTTTCATTAATTAAGAGCATTTCTCCTGAATGGAACGATATGACTGCTGCAGATGAAGCTCAAAGCTTTTAAATGCTTTGCGTCAGAGCTTACCATAATGCACACTGCAAAAGGGTAGTAGCACTTAATGACTTTATGTTCATTTTTTATGTAAGTATATAAGTAAACTTTAAACCCTCTGACAATTAGTTGCTTTTGTTTATGGGTGATAATTAGACGTTAAAAGCCAGCAATTCTCTCGATTGTTCTTCACCATGAATTTTTAGATTTTTTTTTCAAATGGAACTTGCCTTCACACAACGCGCCTGTAACCCTTGCAGGACAGCGGCAAACAAAGTTGCCTTCCTCTCCCAAAAGACACGTACCGCCATTATTGCATGGATTTGGAATACAAGAGTTCTCTGTAAGCGAGCGCGGATAATATGTGGCGGGTACAAGCGAAGAAAAATAATTAATTTTCAATCTGATATTGAAAGATGGCATGGACATACATATTACCATCTAGTTTTTCAACTGCGCTTTGAACGAAAAATGAGCGAGCTCCTTTTCATAATTTCGTCAATTATCGTAACGAACTCCAAGAAAACATTTCTGGTGGTTGGTGTCTGTAGATTTTGGGTAATTGGTCTTGATCTGTTTTTTCTTTTATGTTTTTTTCAATCTAAATTAGAGAAGGAAAAACCTGCGAAATTATTTTAAAAAGAAGTCTCAATATTTAACATGATTGAGTGAACAGAATCTATCTGGAGGACTGCGACTTACTTATCTGACAATGGCGACCTTTAAAACCCTTTGGACACGAGCAACCAAATTTATCCCCTTTCCTGACACAGGATCCACCATTCTGACATGGGTTTGGACTGCAAACGGCTACAAAGTGAGAGGTATGCAACGAATAAAGAAATTGAGACGATAGGCGAAAAATAGAGCTATTTTGATCAGTCGAAAGCCTCTCAAGTAGAATCACGACATGATATGTACGTATGTCCTAAGCGTGTGACCAAAGGCAATGTAACTTGAGATGCTACCTATGTAATACTGCACACTCAGTCTATAATACTGAGTTTCTCATGGCTCTTGGTGTTGGAAAATGTACACAGTATGCATTCGAGAATAACTTAAGCAACCTGAATTTCATATTAAGGAACACTTTAATTAGTTAACGTCAGAAAGGTACTTACATGCGCTTGTTTTCTTATTTCCCTGCACTGCCATACTAGAGACTGCTTGTGCTGGAGATGTGACTTTCAAGTTGTTTGGAAGCAAAGTTGTGTGAAAAATAGGAACGTTGTGTCTATTATCTGCGTTGACCTGGTTTTCAAACGCTATGAATATGGGAACGAAAGATAAATCACGAATTTGATTTTTAAAGTACATGCTAAACTAATCCCTTTGGGCTTTTACCCAAATTTAGTCCTACACTGCACGTGAGACTCTGAAGTCATCTACAGGAAATTATAAATCGGAAAAAAAAAATGATTAGAATTCCGTCTCTCAGGACTGAGACATAGACAACATGTTTCGAAGTTTGTTACCAAGTCACAAGCGATGTACAGAAGGAGTAACGGGGGAGTAACCTTTTTACTCTGGTATTTCTTTCTATCTCCCTCCCCGATTGTGAACACCCTTCCCGATTATAGCTCTCGACTGCGAATCTAGAATATCTTCGGGCTACGTACTTTTTGTCAGCCATAACAACTTCGCAGCTTACTAATAAGGCAAAAAAAAAAAAAAAAAGAACGCCTGCGTATATCACAAACCCTGGTATAGTAACCTCTGCCATAGTAACCTCTGTCTTGAATAAGCACAGTTTTTGAAATACTGAATGGATGTGATGTTCTCTGTTGTAGTGACGACGGAGGTCTAATGATAAATTTTATCATTATGACCTTGAAACCTGGCCGCAAATTATGTGCAACCTAGTAATCTGACTGAGAAAATTCAGCGAGGCAACCTCGTATCCCCAGTATCTCTAGGCAATTCTGAGGCATCTGCTCGGCTTACTCGGAGTATTATGTTATCTTTGGGGGTCAATACGCCCTCTTGATAGAAAAGCTGTTTTTCACAGGCCTTCTTAATTCCTTTGGATAAGCTGTGTAAGATCGAAGACTATGCAAGCTACAGTTTACCACTGGTTTCTCCTAAACGCGTTTACACTAGTTCATGTCGTTATTGGTCACCTGTACAGTTCGGTCCACTATATCCTGGTGTGCATGCGCACTTAAAACCTCCAAAGTCTGTCCTGGAACATGTTCCACCGTTCATGCAGGGGTTTGGGTGACACAAGTCTTGCTCTTTGCAATACAAAGTTAACGTCGTGTTAGTCAAAATAACTTATGTTATTCTTAACTATTATTTGGCTATTGTGCCATCATTTGGTCCATTAGTTTAATTTAATCTTTAATCCAGACAGAAAACATTAAGAAGAAAAGAGAACATAAGTCTTCTAATACAAAAGCTAACAGAAAAGTAAGTTGAAATTCAAATAATGAGAAATAAGTAAAATCACATCGATTGTTTATTTACTGATTAGTTAACTACTTAGATGAAATGTGTTTAACTTGTGTTATTGGAGGTTTTTTTTCCAAACCCTCAGTAATGCTCTTGAAATAAGTTTGATTAGAATCATCTAGCATTTTTTAAGTTACCTATATCATTAAGGTGTACGAAGTTTGGCAAAAAATGTTGATTGCTGTAAGATTAGTAGCCAAGAAATGTCTCAGTAACATAGTGGGGGTGTTGGCGAAAGATCTTTTTGTTTAAGATAGGAAGCAATGCAGGTTTGTATCTACTATCATATTTTGGACAGAGTGGCAAGTCAGTAGTAGTATATCTGTGGTTCGTTCTCAGTCAAATTGTTTGTAAAAGCTCCTAAGTGTTCGTTAAACCTTTGCAACCAGGATTGACTCTCATTCGCCACGCTGTTCTCTTTACATTCTCTTTCGCATGGACAAGGAGAATTTTTTTGGAAAATCAGAAGCTTTTTAAATTGGTAATCATTTTCTTTATTTAACGATGATCCTGTAGGGAGGAATTAGAAGTCATACGCTCTAAGATTGAAAAGTTAAAGCTGATTGTTCTTGCACGCAGCAAAATCAATACGCTTTATCAATCATGATTTGCTGTAAATTCTAGCGTTTCCATGTAGAACTTACCGTGACAATTCTTTCCTGTATAGCCTAGTTTACACGCACACAGGTAATCTTCATCATTGACCTCAATGCACCGTCCATCATGCATACACGGACTGGGATTACAAAGATTCTTCACGCACTGATAGCTGTCCACTCCTGTTTGGTGACATTTGTTGCCAAATTGGCAAGGGTTGGGTTTGCAGAGATCGCGTTCTGAAAATGGGTGATTCAGTGTTACTTACTAGGATCAAATCATGTCTTCAAAACCTTGCAGTCATGACTTTTGTTCTGCATAATTTTTTGTTCTTTCTTAAACACTTTTTCTCAGGTATACCTCTAAGAAAACAGCGCCAGTGATAATTGTTAGCTCTATTGGACCAATCAGAACTGAGATAGAAGGATAGTGAGAAATTGATATACCTTGGCAGTGCCTTCCTTTGTATCCTCTTGAACAGTTGCAAACGAAACCTTCATCCGTGTGAAGACAGGCACCAGAGTTTAAACATGGATTAGGGCGACAGGGATCCAGATCTACATAAAGCAACGAATGCAAATCTTACTTCACCGTATCATCGAAGAACTTCTACAGACTAAATATCATTATTAATAGAAACACATCCCAATCGCAGCTCCAAGTTTCTTTCCTACATTTGACTGTTTAGGTAGCTGTCAGCCATCTTATTCAGAGCCGAAGATATCTTCATAAGGAGTTAATCAAGATGTTATGAAAATGAGGCGGACATACTTATAACGCTTAAAGCAAAGACGTAATGCGTCTGAGCGTATGGGTTTGCTAACTTGAACTGGAATATCACATTCAAAACCTTTGGACGATATATGAACTGCTTAAAATTGACTGACCGTTACCGAAACGGTCAACAGTAGGAATACATTTCTGGAACAGATTCATTATATACGTTCCTACCTTCAAATACTAAAATAAAGGGAACAACAACAACAACAAAAAAGCAATTAAACAACATCGTATACAATATTGATATTGTTCTTGATTTTTGAATATTGCGACCGTAAAGAGTTTCTAAAGCTGACGTGTCTCAGCTTTAATCCTTCGTCAGATAAGTGGAAATGATGTTTGTGGGCTTTCAATCAGGAGTGATCGTGCAGTTACATAGGTTGACGAGGCTCGTCCTTCTGAGGCGGTACCTACCTTGGCAGTGTGTGCCACGATATCCCGAGGTGCAATTGCATAAAAAACCTAGCTCGTCGTTTATCTCCATACACATGCCATCATGGAGGCAAGGATTAGGGTGACATCTGTCTTTTTCTGTGGGGAAAGAATGTTTAATTTCATGCACATATCAAAGCTAGAAAATACATGATCGATGATAGGACCATACACGATCCTAGTCTCAGTCAGCCATCAAACGCCTCTCCTGATATTTATATTGTATAGTGTATTTATACCGTATTCTAACTCCTTCATAATTTTAAATTTTTCATAATCTCCTGACTTCAATATATCATTACTTCTCAAATACCCAGCGCCTTAAATTGAAAGTTCAAGTACGGGATATATCTATTACGCCTGGCTCCCTAGAAGCAATACATCACACATCCAATTCAAAATGAATCTATCTATAATTCTTGTCAAACTTTTTTGCTGAAGGAAATAATTCTCCACTGAAACAAGCCATAATTGCAATGAATATCTAAAACTGATGATAGTGTACCCAAGCTTTTGCTTGTAAAGGCGCACTTACCTTGGCATTGCATGCCTTTATACCCAGAGATACACTGACAAGCAAATCCAGGACCTCCTACAACTTCTCGGCAAAAGCCGCCATGCCCGCATGGATTTGGATGACACTTATCGATATCTAGAGGTAAAGAAATAGTCCATTTAAGAAATACAGCATTTTGAAACTAGTTGTCCTGTGAGAAAAATATTCAAAAGTAATGTGAAAAAGCCGAAAATAATGTGGGACTTCCCTACGCGATTGGTTTAGAAAACATAGGCAAACCAACCTCTTTACGCATCAAAAAAAAAAAAAAAAAAAAAA